GAAAGTGTGAAAAAAATCGTAGAATGATATTTTTTTAAAATATAAGTAGTGATAAACATTCAAACTTTGTGATCAGGTTTTTTTAAGGTATGCAATTGCGGAAGCGTATTCCGGCCACAATATTTTTTTATCTCGAGATTTCAAAGGTAATCCAGAATTTCGAGATACTTAACCTAGCTTTCTAGACAGTATCTATAGATAAGCGTATTCAGCCCATCGGACTCAACTTTTTTAATTGTGAAACATAATCATTCAGAAATTTCTATGGTATTTGTAAGATATGTGACATTAAAGGACAGAGTCGTATTTTAGTATTGCCAAGTCAGTGTTACCGGGGATACTTCTATGTAAAGAACATTTATTACAGTTATAAGTTACTCCTCAACGGAATGGACAGTGTTTTTTTACGTTGAGATAAGCTTTCAAAAAGTAAAAAAAAAATCATACATATTGTTAAATTCTAAAACTGAAAAGTAAATATGTTGGTATTGTTATTTGATATTATTTTCAAACTCGAAATTTCAGGTTACCATTACGAAATTTTTATGTAAAAAAACTAACGTGGCTGGAGTATGCATTAGTACCTATAATATTTGGATAAACGTTTATAACAAATGTGAAAGAAAGAGAAATTTTGTTTATTGTATGTAATTTTCATTGTAAAATAAGGTTTATTCTTTCTATTTACATTGATGACCCAAATTACTCGTTATCTAATAACGTCATTATACCGCATCTTTTTTTTCAGTGAAACCGAACGAAGCAAAACAATGGTTGAATCCAGCTGAAAAGGTTTGTCAAGTATTTCAGTGTTTACAGCATCACCATGAAATGAATTGGTAGGATAAGATTCATATTTGGCCCAATCTCATATTTTTTTATAATATTTTGTCCGAGTACTCTCGAATAAAACAAAGCTGTATATTCTAAATATTAAATAAGTAAGGTATACAACGACTTTAACATTGTAGAATTTTTGCGATAAATAACTAACTGATGACATCAGGTCACGCAGAATAGCATGTACAAAGTAAGTATTTTAACTTTCACAAGACGTTATTCTTAGAACCATAGTCCATTTGACAATTCATAGACATGTAATTTTACCAGATTCACCATTCAAGGGAAGCATGACGACGTAATATTTCATGTGTACGGTTATTATGACAATTTTTAATGTTATCTGTAGATAATGACGTGTCCACAGACTCGAATCTGTATCTCCCAAAATGCTTAACAAAGACATGCACAACGACAAATGAAAATGTGATGTTTCTGTATAAAGTTAAAGTTTGATATGCGAAAAAATGACGACGTAATAATGGTTCTAATACAGGTAGCATGTTGTTAATTTGAATATGATGTGTCCATGAAGATAAGGATATAGACCACGGAGTCAGGTTTTTGTTGATGATATGAACGTTAGAATTCCCACAAAACCGTTTAAACACAACAATCACATAAAAAGTATAACAAATCACACGGTTCCTTTTAACTACCGCATTTGTTAAATTTTTGTTTTCATTGATAAGAAGAATACCGCAAGACATATCATTATAAGTAATATAACGAAAAACACATGTACAGTGACTTCCTCAAATATAGTTTGTATATTGAAAGTTAGGACTCTGTTTCCAGTAATTACAAATAAAAAACAAACAAACAAAACAAAAAAACAAACAAACAAACAAAAAAACAAAAATAAAACAAAAATCAGTCACAATTTGCACAAATAAAAAGATATTAGCAGCAATGTTTGACATTGTAAAACATTTCAGTCTGAAAATTATTACAGATAACAGATCATCGGTAACCGAGTCCACTTTCTCATGGTGAAACGGTTTTGTTCCGTACTTATAAACATCTTTTAAGGTAAAAACTCTGAACTTCACATTGCCATGTTTAGCTATATTTAATTTCGAGTCATTCTAACCAGGTGTAAATTTCAAAGAAGAGGGTATAATACCAGTTTCGTTGCATGTAACGACATTAAGCCAAAAACGAATGAAAAAACCTCTGGATGGCAAGGGGTATGAGTGGTCCCCCAACCGCACCCCCACCCACCCACACACACACGCACGCACGCACAATACACACAGAACAACACACACAGACACATACATCGTAATTTGGTAAATATCTCTTACTCTTTTTGCGAGTTGAAAATACAAGGCATTTTATTAATTGATGACGTCGTGTGTACGGTGTACGTAAATGTCTATTCGCGAGTCCGGTTTGTATCCCACATATATGTTCATAAAGAACGAGATAATTTACTCGAATTTCAATACATGGATACCTAATACTCAATATCTTATGCATGTACATTGTGCGCCTATATTGATAAAGAAGCAGTTGAAATTCCCTTTTTAAAACATTTACGATCGTTGGCGAATCAAAGTCGGAAAATCCTTAAGACGTTTCCGTGAGGTGACACATTTACAATATAATGTATGTCGTATTCAGACTATACAGCGATACCTCGAATGATTTTTCCTGTGATATGACTTAAGAAAAAGCATGCAGCATTTGCGATATCGCACTACACAGGTAGACGCACCTATTCCATATGTACTATGTACATTTTTGCGTGACGGCTTTCTGAAGTTTGTGTAACATCGACAAGAGGGACCAAGTTTTATTCGCGAGCTCAGCAAGCGCTTTATGGTATTTTGTGTTGTAGTGCTACACCAACTAGCTTCAGCTGTCGATCATACAATTTTTTCATTAGTAACAACTTTGCGTTGTAATTCTAAACAAACAAGTTAACAAAATTAAATAAAAAAACATCCATTGTTATAAAGATCAGTAATAGCAACACTCCAATATATAAAGTTGACTGTATTAATTATTTATTTAACAGGTTTAACGTCCTCTATTACGGCCTTTTGGCCTTTCAACATTTCTGGAGATGCGATAAATTTGACAATCAGGTTATTATGCATATAAGACAATGTCTGTACTCAACCTACACAAGGTAATAAATATAAATTCATTAATATAGGTGTTCCTTACTTGTATGCTTATATTTATATTATTAAGAGGAGACGTTTACGAATAGATATATGAACGAACGGAAGAAATTGGAAAAGTCATTAAAAAATAACAGAATAACGCATATCATTTCGGATATAAATACACACACCCCCGCCTTTTCTAAGAATAACAGAATAACGCATTCTATTCATGTTATAATTATATATTTTACATACAATGTGCAATGATAAAATACGACATATTTCATAAAGTTGTAATTTTCATTACATCAGTTTCCAGTCTCTGACAAGATTGTGGTGCATAAGACTTCGATGACACCACGGAGATAGATCGAAGTCTGTGATAACACATTGATATATGTGGATATATCGGCGTGTGTCAGTGAAGCCATGACAAACACATACACATACAACCAGCACCACACACACATACACACACACCCTCACACACACACACACACCTCACCACAACCACACACACAAACCAAAACACCCCCCCCCACACACACACACACACACACACACACACATACACACCACCACCACCAAACACAGCACCACACACACAGAGCACCCCCACGCACAACTAACACACACACACACACACAGAGAACACCACACACTTAAAAAGAGCACCACACACTCTCTCTCTCTCTCTCTCTCTCTCTATCTAACACACACCTTCACCCACACCCACCCACACCCCCCCCCCCCCCACACACACACCCTCCCTCACACCAACATGATTTTTGTCCAAACACTGCAAAGCTTATATTCCTATGATTCTAAATACATAGGATTTGCTTACTAAAATGTTGACTGGAAAAGAGTGAAAATTAATGTTGAAGCAAAATGACAGGTTTTCCTTAGTGTCATTACAAATTCCTGGGAGTTAAGGGGTTAACACACAATATGTAACACCACAGCGGCTAAGCAAGGTAAGTGGAATTTTACTGAGCGATGTGTGATAGGTCACTAACTTGAAGATCGTGGAGACGACACACTCTGTGCAACACTACACCATAAAAGTGGGGTACATACTTAAAATGTCATGTGACGTGGAGATTCGATTTTCTACGCAGAATCCGGGGTCGGCAAAGCGAGGTGACGAGAAGTACTTCGCATTTTACATACCTTATTTCTTTACTATATTGTCATGCTTTGTACCTCGGAACGTTATGTAAACAAAGCACCACACACACACACACACACACACACACACACACACACACACACACACACACACACACACACACACACACACACACACACACACAGAGCACACCACACACACACAACTAGCACACTCACATCAACAGAGCACCACACACACACACAGGACCACACACACAGAGCACACCACACACACAAACAACTAGGACACACATACTAACAGAGCATCACACACCCACAGAACCACACACACAGAGAACACCAAACACACACACACACTAACAGAGCACCACACACACAAAGAACACCAACCACAACTAGCACACACATACTAACAGAGCATCACACACACACACACACACACAGGACCACACACAAAGAGAACACCACACACACACACACACACACACAGACACATACACAGCACCACACACACAACTAACACACACACAGAACACCACACACTTAAAATGAGCACCACACACACACTCAGCACCATACACCCACACGGCACCACACACAAACACCGGACGACAGTTCTAGTTATGCACTGCACTCATTTTCAAAATAGTGACAGTAAAAACAGAATTGTAAATAACCGTATAACATAATTGAACTGTATGCAATTGCATTTACGGTAGTATGAAGACAATGGGATACATATGAATATCACCCTAAAATGATATGTAAACCATTGCGTTCATACCATTGTCAAACATGCATATTCGATAAGGGTTATATCACTTTTAACAAGTATTTTAAACATTACAACAGGTACGCAGGAGTACTTTGGACGGAAGGAAAACATATATCATAGAAGCATGCAAATCTATGAATATCTCTCTAAAGCATGGGAAACACGGAACACTTAACAACATAAAAGGCGAATATTTCCTTTACAATCCGAAGCATAACTTTGTCTTCTGTATGGTGCAGAAAGTAGGATGCACATTCTGGCGACGAGTGTTCCATTTATTGACCCACAATGAAACTTCGAATCTGTATTCTATTGATCATTTTAAAGTACACTCCGAATCTATTCCTACCCTTGGGCGTTTCAACCTCAGTGAAGCGAGAAGTGTTTTACAATCTTCAACATCTGCATTATTTACTCGAGACCCTTATGAACGAGTGTTGTCTGGGTACTTAGACAAAATATTCGCGGTAAATACTTATTACATGACACACCTTGGGCGACCTATCATCAAAATGCTACGGAGAAATGAAAGTAACACAACATGCGGTCATGACGTAACATTTACGGAATTTGTACAATATATCTTAAATATGAAAAAAAATGGTGTTGAACAAGAAATCGACCATCATTTCACACCTATGTATACCCACTGTTTGCCATGCGATGTCAAATATGACTTTGTGGGTAGAATGGAATCCTTCGATGAAGATTCTTCTTTTCTCTTCAGAAAAATAGGCTTATTTCTAAACAGAACAATATTAATGAAAAAGACTGATTCCATCAGTGCTGATATACGATTGAAATTTAGAGAAGCATTTAATGCTGCAAATACATTTTCAAAGTGTATGACGTTGAAGGAAATGTATGGTAGAGTCTGGACAACGCTCCAACTCAGAGGAATGGTAAATCCGGATGTTCCAATGCCTTACTCTCCTAATGCTACTATGGACATGATACAGCAGGCGGCGGTCAGAGCTAGTGACCCGTCACGTGTGTCGGAGTTCAAACGCAGAGGATTTATCAATATGTACAAGACCTTGGACAGACGACTTTTGGAAGGACTAAGAGAATACGTTCTTCTAGATTGCAAGATCTTTGGATACAACGATAGGCCCGCTGAAATATTTTCATGAGAATTGTAGTTCTGATGAGGACAGTGTGCTCCGTGTTGTAAAGGGAAAACTTACTATTTTATATAATCGGGTGGTAAAAATCTCGATCGGGTAACAAAAATGTACCCTCAGGAGATAAAATATAAACCGGGTGGTAAAAATATAACTGGGTGAAAAAATATATGACCAGGTGGTAGAAACTTGACTAGGTGATAAAATATATAACCAGGGCCCGTATTCATGAAACCATTCTAATGCTTAAGCATAGATTTTGTGCTCAAGCAGACTTTTTTATAATTCGCCTAAATGAAAAATACATATGTCGAATATAAACATTGAATATAACTTTGACTTGAAGTCCTTTCAAATTGTTTTTAAAATCTTTGGCAAAATCAATCTTATTTATCAATTTTTAACTTAAGCAAGACATAAGGCTTGAGCACAAAATTCATGCTCGAGCACGAGAACGGTTTCATGAATACAGGCCCTGGTGGTAGAAATATGACAGGGTGATACAATATATAACTAGGTGGTAGAAACATGATTGGGTGATAAGATATATAACCAGGAGGTAGAAATGTGGCTGGGTGATAAAATATATAATTAGGTGGTAGAAATATGACTGGGTGATAAAAAATATAACCAGGTGTTAGAAATATTACTGGGTGATAAAAGATATAACCAGGTGGTAGAAATATGACTGGTGATAAAATATATAACTAGGTGGTAGAAATATGACTAGTGATAAAATATATAACCAGGAGGTAGAAATATGACTAGTGATAAAATATATAACCAGGTGTTAGAAATATGAGTGGGTGATAAAATATATAACCAGGAGGTAGAAATATGACTGGGTGATAAAAATATAATCTTTCATCCTGCAACTGCACTGCCTTTGCCGGAATACATCTACCACATATATGTTTGTTGCATCCGGCAGTGACGAAAACAGCTGTATTTTAGCACATGCATTAAAATAAATATTCTGATTTACTTTATTTCATTTAAAATATGATAGCAATTTCATTTGTTGTAATTAAAAAGTTTATTTAAAATATCGTAGTAGGTTCTATACAAAATGTTTCTATTCTAATGGACGCTGTTAATAGTGAAATTTGTCACTCAAGTGTAGAACATAATTTGTGTTAAATCTTAATGTGACTGGCTGGCTTATCAGACAGATAGTTTAATTGCGGTCACCTTAGTGTCAGAATCATGCCGTGAAACATTGGCTGGACATGCTCTCCACCATGGAGACATTAACTGGTCACGGTTTAATTGTAGATCAGTAGAAGACACTTTCCCTATCAGAATTAGATTATAGTTGCTTTAGGATAAACTGTAAGATCACAGCAAATAGAGTCAGTCCTGGTGTGGCCGTGGAAGGAGTAACTTGTTAAGCTCGATACTCAGGCCATACATGTTATCATTGTTGTAACCTGTGTTAATACTCAACATTTGTACTTGAGAACGGTTGTTGCTGGTCTTTTGTATAACATAAGGATAGTACAACATAGAGGGGTAACAGACGCAAATATTGAAATCGCCCAAAATTATGAGTTCCTCCTTCTATAACAAACACCGACACCAGTTGGTTTGGTTTCAAGAAATAAAATGTTAATCCAAGCAGAATTAGTTGTATCATTTGGTATGCCCTTTATTGTAAACACACACCTCCGCCTTTTCTAAGAATAACAGAATAACGCATCCTATTCATGTTATAGTTATATATTTTACATACAATGTGCAATGATAAAATACGACATATTTCATGAAGTTGTAATTTTCATTTCATCAATTTCCAGTCTCTGACATGATCGTCGAACATAAGACGGCGATGACACCACGGAGATAGATCGAAGTCCGTGATAACACATTGGTATATGTGGATATGTCGGCGTATGGCAATGAAGACATGAATCATGCAATGCAAAATGTTGATCATCTTGCGTTCACTTTTTGGCAGTGTCGATTTCAAGTAAATTTAAATTTCCTTCTATATCCACACTAAGTTTATTTTAATTAATATACCACCCAGCTTAGTATGTTGATATCGTCGTGTTTTTCTCACATCGAAGCTTTTGCTAAAAGCAGCCGGCTACAAAACTACGACAATCTTTGTCAATAAAGTCACAATTGGCGACAAGACTACAACAGCCATTGTGTTCATTAACATTAAGTTTAACGACAGGCCATATCTCTCCATTGAAATATATTAGAACTGTCAGACTATCACAACGTCTTGTAAAGGCTGTTAAACAATTATCAAAATAAATTCACATGAGCAGTCACATCGAAAATCACACACAACGAGACAGTCCTTTACCTGTTAGCCATTCAACCGAATATATTGAATTGATATTTATTGCTATTTTGGTTAAATTTCGAGATACATGCAACATAGTGTTTTCATACTTATGAACCTGACCTTGTCCCCCTTCCTTGACCGAGTGATTTTTTTCAGTTTCACAGACACTTTAAGACGACGTATCGTTTTTAAATATTACAAAATCATACATTTTCATGGGGTTCCTGGTTTTCCAAAAATATACATTATTTTGCTGTCATGTGGTTTTGTGGATAAATCTTGCTATCTGTCAAGTGCGACGAATTTTAGGTTTATTTTTTTTTTCGTGGTTTCCTTCAAATCCAAAGGCTGAAAAACATTCCCTTCTCCTCTTGGCACATACACAATCGTACACGTTCTCCCCGTCACACGATTGTTCATTATCACGATCTCACGTTCCTTCACAGGGGACATAACTCTTAAAAAACATTTTTAGTAGGGTGCCTTCCAGCACTACTAAGTCATCTTATGTAGTTGCTTACATATACTAAAACATGCGGTGTCCTTTTTTTCTTTATAGTGCACACACATATATAAATCAGAATTACATTACATATTTATTTTGACACTATCATCCATGTCAACTTAATCCATTACTCATTCCGTGGACATCAAAAGTCTTGGATATAGAGTACACAGATGAATATTAATCCCCATGAAAATACATGATTTGACATAACTTGTTAACAAGAAATGATTTGAGAAGCCGGAACTGGTTTGTTTTCTTAAACTTTAAAATAAAAACGCAGTGATGCTCCTTTTATCAGCTAATACATGCATGTCCCAGGGGTTATTCCCAAGTCTTCCGTACAGATCGAACCTAATTTCTTGTCCTTTACTAGTCTTGCGCGTAACCGGTCCATCTAAAGAGATGCGAGGTTTTCATGATTACTAGCCGAGCGGTATGTTACGGCTAGCATTTACCAGGGTTACACACTCCCCCTCCAGGAAAGAACCGTGCAAGTATTTTCCAATGGTAACAACACTTCACGTCCAGGTAACATCCAAAATGCGTAAGTTGAGTAATCTTACGTGTCCTATATCATGTTTTGACAATGAATCAAAAATCGAACTTGAATTACCAAAAATTCGGACAATCGGATTCAAATAGAGTGAGTTTGGCGGATATCTGAAAAAAAGAGGCTTTCTTTTTTAAAATAAAAGGGGAGGGTCACAAAAAGATCTCTGCATCGACATTTCTAACAAAGTAAACTCTAGACAGCCGCAGTAACTCATTCACTATGTAGAATATCGATACAGAACGCGATAACTCACTATGTAGATTATAAAGCCAACAGGTTTGAAAACGAGGCAGTTCATTTGTAAAAATGGAGACAAATGAGAGTTACGTGAACAACTGTTTTTCGAACTTACAACATGCTAAAAAATCGTTTTGATGACAAACTTGCTTTATTTTGATGTCAAATAAATAAGACATATGTTTCTGTTAAGTGATACTTGTATCATACACAATCCACCAGAAAATTAGAATTTAACATAGAGCACTTCGTTTAAAAAAATTGATGTCACAGGCCCGTTGTTTTAAAAATGGGTATGACAGATCTTCTCTTTGGATGAGTCATCTTTAACAAATACACTACAAAAAGTATCGTTGTCAATCATATTTAAGGGCTGTGCACTTTAAATACGTCAGATATCCTGCAGTCAGTATTCTTGACAAGTGCAATCAATTCAAGGTAGGTAGATCCATTACGACAATATATAACGGGGCTTAATCTTAAGTATGGACTGATAAAATCAGATAGGAAGAGAACTGGATTCAGATGGAACTTCACAACAATGATAGAAGACCTAGATTTTGCAGATGATCTTGCCCTTCTTTCATCTGCCATGAACCATCTACAACAAAAGACATCAAGGCTTGAAGAAAATGCCTCCAAAGTAGGACTGAAGCTCAATGACAAGAAATGGAAGCTAACAGCATGAATGAAGAGAAGTTGAAGGTTCGCCCAAAAACAACTTGGCGAAGAATGGTGGAGGTGGAGCGGAATGGTGCTGGCTGGAGTACCTGGAACTCTACACGCCGTGCCGCCGAAGATCGAAAACAGTGGTGAAGGGATGTTCAAGCCTTGTGTGCCTCCTGGCACAGAGAGACTAAAGGTTAAGGTCAGGATAAAATCTATGTAATGCATTTTACAGAGCAATGGTATTGGGCACAAATTCTACAAACCACTTCCCCATCAATAAACATCTATATATCTTCAATTATAAGACATCTGTATTGCTAAAGTAAATTTAAGATGGCAGCTTTATGTTATAATATAAATCGTTATTTGTTAAAAGTTACACTCAGCAACCATCCGCACATACATCATGTAAACGGCTTTCGTGCTGATTAACATGACGTCGAAATCATTTAGAACGTAGATTACTCAATGCTGCTATCTGACTCTTTGAATGGTGTTATTGAGAAAAGAAAATATTGTAAATTTAAGTCGTATTCACGTGATTTACCCAATGCCACATTAGTTTTAGGATCTCGTACACTAAACAAGTCCTTAAATGGAATTCAGTACTTATTGTTCCGTTCCTCTTTCACACACAATGCTTTATCGTTTACCATTTATAGAATGTTTATCGAACAAATCGGCGGGATCAAACAACAAATCGGAGGGTTGAAAATATTTTAGTGCATTTTGATATTTTTCGTTTAGATACCAATGATCGATCGCGCCATTTTCGTGACGTTACTGTTGACCAAGTGTCCTCATTGAGAAATATTCTATTTCTGTGTCCAATATAAAGCTCCAGGTGTTTGATGCTCGGTAGTTTGCCTGTTGGTTCCAATGTTCTAAAGGGAACGTAACTTAATTGGATCGACCAAGATTTTTGTGGTGAGTGTCGTCGAAAGCTGGAGACGCTTACTTTTCCGGAACACCAGACCATATTTTCCTGTATTTTTCAGGAGTGTGTAAATATTTTGTTAATGTTTTACCAAAGTGTTATCGAATTTGTGTTTGAATTAAAATTAACATGTCGGTTTTCTTTTATTTATTTATTTTATTAATTTTTATTTTTGATGATACTGGCTGGTGTTATATTATCCACCTAAACACAGAGGAAACAATCAGATATGAAAACACAAATCATTATCTCGTGTGTTATAACTACAATTGACGTCACTTCATCGCGTAAACAAGAAATGCAGTTGTTATAATATCTCTGGATATCCCCTGATTTAGAGATTATTAAATGTTTGAATGACGAGACAAACATACATAAAATTTTAACGAAGCTTGAATTCCAATGGGTTTTTTTTGTCCAATGGCACTTGAGCGATGGCAAAAAGTACAATTTTTGTTCATATGCAACAGCGTGTGATACACGTTCCAGTGAGTACAGACTTGCGATATGAAAATTGTCTATCCGTTTTTTTTTATGTTTTTACATTTTTTTTATATAAATGTGGATTACACGCTGAGTAGCTATTTTTAAGATGTTATATGATCATGTCCAGTTTGGCTCGTTTTCGATGTTGGCGGTCAGTATGTATCCCAAGGAGCCGCCGAGTCGTTTGTTGTACATGTACATATCAGGTGAATTCTAAGTTTTCATTTGTTGACGTGTTCGAAATTCGGGTTCAATTAATTAACTCATTATTAGCTCACCTAAACTGAAGTGTCAAGTGAGCTTATGGGATACCGTCTAATCGTCCTTTTTTTTAACAAATCACTATTAGCCATGAGCAACTGAGCGGATTTTATCAGAACGATCAGCTGGGGAGGGAATCAATTTTTAATAAACGGTGTGTCTCAGCCGCCAGAGGTTTGAGGAACAAATCCCAAAATGGACAATTTTGCAAGCTCTTTGAAATGCTACTTCACCTATAGGAATTACTAATTTTGCCCAAATTTGATCAGAGGCATCCTTGAGTAAATGGGAATCAATTTTGTATTAACATTGGGTCTCGGCCTCTTTGGGTATAAAGGGATGGGCCCAATAAGGAAGTAGACTAAATATTAATATTTTAAACTCAATTTTTTTACACTCTAGGAATAGATGGGTTCTATCCGTCGAAAGTTTGGTGTAAGTCATCCTTTAGTGATGAGGAATTCATTCTGTATATCTTATTTCATATTCTATGACTTGTGTATATCGATCTGGTTTTAAATTCAAATCAAAATCAAAGGCCGAACTTTTAAGTAACTTTGTAAATAAAACCCAATATCAAAATTTCCTCAACGCCGATTCCATTTAATTACCACGAGGACCGAATCGAGACACGAACTTTTAAATGAAATACCACATTGTTTGCAGAATTCTTGTTCAAATTTAAACAAAAAAATATATATGCTTTCTGAACATCCTGTCAGTCGCAGTCATACGGGTCAACCATTAGTTTAGGTATATACAAGTATGTATATGTACGTTTAGTGTGTGTATATATATAGCCGCACGTAAAGCGTGTGCGCCTGGTCGACATTTATACACGTGCACGCTTGGCACACATCAACACTCTGAGCTTATATTTACACTACACGTGAGATGGAGGATGTTTGTTACAAAATATTGAGATATGGCGAGACTGAAACTGTCGGCGCGACACGGCTTAACACTGATACTTCAGGAGAAGTGATCGATACTTCAGGAGAAGTAATCAATACCTCAGGAGAAGTGATCGATACATCAGGAGAAGTGATCGATACCTCAGGAGAAGTGATCGATACTTCAGGAGAAGTGATTGATACTTCAGGAGAAGTGATCGATACTTCAAGAGAAGTGATCGATACGTCAAGAAAAGTTATCGATACGTCAGGAGAAATGATCGATACTTCAGGAGAAGTGATTGATACTTCAGGAGAAATGATCGATACTTCAGGAGAAGTGATCGATAATTCAGGAGAAGTGATCGATACGCCAGGAGAAGTGATCGATACCTCAGGAGAAGACGCCGATGTTTCAAGTTATATCGCTGATATTTCAAGAGAAATAGATGATTCCTCAAGAGAGTGCATTGAGAGTTCAAAAGAAATCTCCGCCGGTAATGCAAGAGACTCTACACCGGAAATTGATACCACGCAATTTGAGGACACAAGAGACTCTACACCGGAAATTGATACCACGCAATTGGAGGACACAAGAGACTCTGGCTTCATACCTTCAGGTATGTTTATCAGTTCAGTCGTTTTACTAAAATAAACCTAGAACTAATCTCGAGCTAATAATTACAGAATTTACACTTTTCTTCTTTGGAATGGTAGTTATCAGTATCAAAACAGAAAAAAAGTCTCCTGAAATCAAACTCCAGGATTATTTTTTTTTTCTTTTTATAAGATTAAGAAAATAAGAAAAATAACATTTGGCAACTTTTGAAATGTCATACTTGAAATGAACTGCATAGCAAGATCAACTAAAATATAATGTAGATTTGCAAACATGTTAGATCAGTTGTATTTCATTGGAAAAACATTAAAGTATGAAAATGGCTTAAATGCTACCCGTATGTGAACTTTACCTTACAAGATTTTGTTTTGTTTTGAATCGCAGAAAAAATATCAGTCCTTACTCTCAGTAACAATATGAGCTTGCATTTAATTCCTTAAAACAATATATTTTATTCAATAAATACAAGACAAATGGTACGAGTGTACAGAGAGAAATATCAAGCACATAGTTTAGCTAATTGTGCCTGTTTGGCGGTATTTTCACGGCCATTGGAATTACTGATTTTGATTAGATGAATTAATAAATGTGTTAAGTGTCCGATAATAGAAATTTCATTTCTCACAATTATGCCTCAAAAATGAAAAGAATAGAAAAGTGCATGATTCGGAACAATGAAAATCTATATTTTTTATATAGGTTTTGTCCGATTTACAGAAGAATTCACTTGTAATCATAAAATGGATGTCGTCCATACAGCCTCGTCACTTTACTTAGAATTATGTTCACCGTATTCTGTATATTCTACTCTAATATATGACATAAGTTTCATTTCGATTCCCCTTTTTTCAAGAAGACAATGTTATGGCGATGATTCCAACCGAAAGATTTAGCGATCGGATAAAATATAAAATCTTAATTTATATTTTTGTCGTTCAAAATCATGTGCTTCCATAAACCTGACACACTTTTTTTGCAGGTATCTTAAAGGGAAACCTGAGTGCATTTATAATATACTTTCATTGAATTGTATTTACAAAAATAGCAGTCGTGAAAATTTAAGTCAAATCTAATGACACGTTTTTTATGTTAAGCTGAAAACTGTATGAAACCATCGATCCCATGATTTTCCTGTTAAGAATGACTTTTTGAAAGAAACACATCCTCGATACTCCAAGGGTTACAATCTGTGTCGCTCTCTGTACCCCTGGAACATGTCCTCGATACTCCAAGGGTTACAATCTGTGTCGCTCTCTGTACCCCTGGAACATGTCCTCGATACTCCAAGGGTTACAATGTGTCGCTCTCTGCCTGGAACATGTCCTCGATACTCCAAGGGTTACAATCTGTGTCACACTCTGTACCCCTGGAACATGTCCTCGATACTCCAAGGGTTACGATCTGTGTCGCTCTCTGTACCCCTGGAACATGTCCTCGATACTCCAAGGGTTACGATCTGTGTCGCTCTCTGTACCTCTGGAACATGTCCTCGATACTACAAGGGTTACGATCTGTGTCGCTCTCTGTACCCCTGTAACGTGGCATGGTAAAATTGAAGGTTCTGTTTGCAACACCGTGTGCAAGCCGGAAAAAATCGAGTTTGGTCCTTTGGTGTACAGCAAACGAAACTCAGGTCGTATAACGGTATGTTGAAAGGCTTTAAAGTTGGATATGTTTCCTTTGTAATCTTCAAAAGAAGCGTGTCCGTTTTTGTCTCTCTGTAACCTAACTGAGACAAATTGCCACATATTCAACAGATGAGACAGTTTACAATATTTACATTTATTACAATTTACAAGGATTTTTATGCAAAATATACACATTGATATACAATCACGTGATTCTCTTTTACGTGACAGACTTACGCTCTAAATAACAATGTATCACATTGATATGTCTACACTATATCACTCTAACTAAACCCTACTGTATTCGAAAGTATGATATAACACTTTCACAAAGTCTACCAAATCCTAAAGAATTCTTAGAAGCTCAACAAGTGACTGGTACGACAGCCCACACAATAATGTCAGTACATATGTCCTGCTGCTCCTTATAAAACACTGGGTCGACCTCTATCGTTCCGTTGTGACAACATGTCCACCTGACAGATTATCTAGGCACTGCATGGCACAGTTTCTCATATATATTTATAAAAAAGAGAAACATCTAGTATATCAACCTCACTGAAGCTTCCTCGTGGATAAGGCCGTAACTCACATGTCAATGACCGAACCACTACTGCCATAACACACATCTGGGCCTCCATAGTGTTGTACAACACGACCGCATACATAACATGTTCAAAGTCTCAAGACTATACAGCATCCACCGCCAGGTAATTAGACAATCATGTCCTTTAACCCCTTAACTCCCAGGAATTTTTAATGACACTAAGGAAAATCTGTCATTTTGCTTCAACATGAATTTTCACCCTTTTCCAGTCAACTTTATGGTAAGCAATCCCCATGTAATTATAAAAATGGAATTACAAGCTTTCTAAATCTTTTGACAAAAATCATTTTTTACGAATAATGATATGAGTTTTGTTGTTGTTGTTTTGTACAACAGTATCAACAGTTTAGTCAACCACCAGAATATGGAATAGGAAACTGAAAAACTTATTTGTTTTACAGCAAAATTATTTCTTTTCGTTTATCGGTATTTGTCTAAGTATGAATGAAATAGGACCTTGTGATCATAACACCATAAAGATAATCCGCTCCAGTACGGAAATTCGATCAAAGCAAAGAGATCTCAGATAATACTAACTACACTTTTGTCAGGTTTTAAAAGCAATCTGCTTGTTCTGTCACATGAGGAAAACTGGGAAGCCCGACTACACTGGATGTTCACTAATTAAAATTAAAAAAAAAAAAAAAAAAAATAGAATTAAAAAATATATATATATTTACATAATTGAAGTTTGCATGGGTGGCGAAGATGTTCACGCAACCATGAAGAGATATGGCCTGTCATTAAACGTAATGTTAATGCTTGTCGTAGTCTTGTCGCCGATTGCTATCAGCAACACAATATGTATTATCAAAAGCTAAACCAATAAAATAGTCCGTCTTTATTAGAGATAAGCAACGCTCCACCCGAAGATTCACGGTCCCTTAGGTACATATTAAAAGTCTTTATGAGTATGTCCTCGCCAGTTCTATGTAACTTAAGGTGAGTAGGGTTAGTATTTGTAATTTGTGGTTATCAATTAGACTGGTTAAGAGGAATAGCACAACATGTGATAATTTGATCACCGTGTACATCATACTTGATCAAACTCCTTTTTTCATGAGATTAATAAAGAAAATAAATTGTTTCTTATTCAGAACGCAGTGTGTCCGAAAGTAAAAGACAGTCGATCGTCACTCTAGGACACTAAATCATTGCCCAACATACTAAGCTGAGAGGTATATCAGTTAACATAAACTTTGTGTGGATATCGAAACAAATTTAAATAAACATGAAATCGGCACTGCCTTAAAAGTGAACGCAAGTTGATCAATATTTTTAACTGTATGATTCATGGCTTCACTGGAGCGTGTTTTGTTTAAATTAGCTTAAATTTTCCACATATCCACATATACAAACGTGTTACCACGGACATCGATCTAAATAGGATGCGTTATTCTGTTATCTTTTTTATCGATTTTCCAATTTCTTCCATCCGTCCACAAATTTCCTCTTTACTACAAGTTTGGACTTTTATAATGAACAAGCATGGAACAACTATATTAATGAATTAATATTTATTAATTTGTGTAAATTGAATACAGACATTGTTTTATATGCATGCTATTCTGATTGAATAAATAAAGTTAACTTTAAATATTGGAGTGTTGTTATTACTGATCTTTACAAAAATGGATGTTTGTTTATTTAATGAAAACATGTATGATCGACAGCTAGAGCTTATTTCAAGTTTCAAGTTTTATTACAACTTTAGGTCTTAGGCCCATCAATCCCACTAGTCGATGTTACACAAACTTCAGAAAGCCGTTACGAAAAAATGTACATAGTACATATGGAGTTGGTGTGTTTACATGTATAGTGCGATATCGGAAGTGCTGCATGGTTTTTTTCTAATGTCATATCACAGGAAGAATGCAGGTGAATAACCATTCGTGGGCTCGCTGTCTAGTCTGAATACGAAATACATTATATTGTACAATTACAGTCTCACGGAAACATCTAAAGGATTTTCCGAGTTTGATTCGGCAACGATCGTAAATGGAGGCATGTTTACAAAAAGTGAATTTAAGCTGCTTCTTTATCAATACAGACGCACGATGTACATGCATAATATATTGAGTATTAGTTATCCATGTATTGAAATTCGAGTGTGACGGCTTTCCCAACACCGACATCACAATTCGTAGAAGTGCGTAGATGGGAGTAAGGGTTAAGGTATACAAACATCTGCATATGAATGTTTAGGGCTTCCATATATATTTCACCGTCGGCTCAACTCATAGCGACATGAATATGGGAATGGGCATGGAGCTACAATATACAAATGAAAATACCTATAAGAGTATGTCCTGGGCATTATTATGAATATATCATTACAATATAACTCTAGTTAATGAATACAAGCAATTTATACAACATAACAATACACACCACTGCACTCGCGTACCTGTTAGCTTTACAATATCAACAACCCGCCACGCACGCGCTTATACACCTATACACATTCAATAATTCATATACACAACGTATACTAGATATAAACACATCCAAACTTACCATGGCTGCTGAACGCCTTCTTGATGGTATAAACACGTTAATCCATGCCTGTCCGTTTACCTTTCTCCTCGTGTATTACCCATGCGCCAACACCGCTTAAAAGTTAGACAAGTAAAACGGAGATAAATTCAATCTCGATAAAATGATATAAAACATACTTACAACAAATCCACAGATGCGCTAACACTCCTTTTTAATCTGAATTTCAATAATAAGTTTTATACGAAGAATTAGAATCATTTGGTATAA